TTTTGAACAGCACCTTATGTGATTACTTGGGGATTGGATTCTGATTATTTTTTGTTTGCCCTTTTTTTAAATATATCTACCTATGGCAAACACCTCACAAAAGGAATATTTCACTTTAGAAAGTTATAGTTTGAAGTAATTATACATCCCAATTTCCTATGTATTTACAGTTTCAATTTCCAAAAACAGTAAACACTTTTACGTGACAGTAACTCATAAGTATGTTTATATATGCACGTGCATATATAGATATATATAAAATCCTGTAATAACTGTCCTACCTCTATTTCCTTTGTTCCTGGCACCTCTAAAGGGAAATCCAGATCTGAAGGATCTATTACTACTACCAAGCTGGTAAAACTATTTTAGAGATTAGTAGCAACAACTATTAACATTTATCACTTAAACAGATATTTTAGAGGATTTATATATAAAATTATAATGAATATTTTTATTTAACAGAGAGTAGAAGTTATTCATATTTTTTGCTATTCTTCTTGTAGCTTGTTTTATAGTACAATAATTACTTAAGTTCTCACTTATATAGTTCTTACTGTACTAGCAATTACAAGCACAGAATGTAATAAGTGGTGAGATATGTAATATATATACAAAAGAACAAGAAAAAACACTCAATCTCATATATTCAGGTATCCATATATGTATGTACATTAAAATGCACATTACGTGGAACACGACTTGTCTCAACACATTGGCACATTGGCATATGCCAACACTGACATCTACTGGTGTTAGTCAGGTTTGGGGTAGTTTTTCTGCAAACACTAAATAATGAAGTTTCTTTGTGCATTCACAGAACTAAAGTGTGTAACTTCTATTACCTGCAATTTCACTGCCAGACCTATATCTGTTATAGTGGACTTCATTATCATTTATGCTAATTGCAATGTACTTCCATTTTAAGACCTATTTAAATTATCAGAATACTGTGCAAACGGGGGGGTCTCAACATAATTGAGAACCAGCCATTTGGTTTAGCAAACAAAATGCCTTCTGAAGTACATTTGGACGTTAAAAAAGAATCCTTAAAATGTAGCGCTAGCCCAGAAGTTGTAGTTCTTACACAGAGAGAAAGATTATAGGTCTGGGAGTAGTTCTTGAACTCTTTCTGGAATGTTCCTTTCTTCAAGTGGAAGCTTTGACAAAAGACCTATTTCTTAAAGGGAAAAAAAACAAGAGCTGAAAACCTAACTTTTGACAAGTGTTTGGCCTTCCTAGTTTTTCTTTACATCTAAGTATTTGGTGGTTCTGACTCTTCAAGGTGGGTGTCTGCATAAAAGGAATGTCAAGTGAAGTTATACAAGATACAAAAAGGCATAAACGAATCAAAATATTCCTTAGCATTTGGCAGTTAAAAGTGTTTTAAGTGAACAACATAAAAAGAGCTGTCCACTTTTGTCATAAATAGTTTTCAATTCAAGGAGTTTATAGTAGGTAATCAGCTGTGAGTTAACGTGAAACAACACTCAGACAACATTCAAACAACATTTTCGAAGAGAAGCACCATGGAGGAAAGCTCCGAGTAATAATAATACTGATCAAATAATATTCTGTTTCCATCTGCTGGTAAAAAACTGTAAAATCAGTTTTATTCCTGCATGCAGGAATCTTAACAAACATAACATGAAGCTACAAATCCCGTTAAAATTTTGTAGGATATCTGCCAGGAACAGGTTTGACTATCCATATATAACCTTCATAAAAATATATTTAGCTTAATACTTGTCTTCATGGCAAAAAAGTAGCTTTTTTAACTCTCAGATAACTGATGCCTGTAGAGTATGCCAAGATTCAACACGAGAGCAAAAGCAAGGCACCTTTGCTATCTGATGAAATAAACTTAATACAGTCAATCCCAGGAGAGAGTTGTAGCTGACCTTGGGAAGTTTACATCTGGATAAATTGATACACCCTGCTCCACAAGATGTTTTTTGCAGATGTGAATGAGAAGTTGTATATGTTTTTAAGCCTGTGGATATTTTTCATAGCGAAGACAAGACTTTAAAGCAAGAAAATTGTTGCTTTCTTGATCTGATCTACCATAAAATCCTACCACTGTAGGCTTCTTTGGACTTTGTTACAGTCAAACAAGATTCTTTCAGAGAAGAACTCAGAACTAGTACAAAAAAAATAAAGATAGCTCTATTGCTATTTAAACAGTTGACAAAGTCATTTGAATTTTACTATACACTACACAGAAATCATGCTTACCCCCACATAGATCAATTGCATTTGTGAAATTAGCTCAATGCATGGAATTGGTCAGTAATGAAATGTGAACAGCTTAAACGGACCTAAATTAGTGCCAGGTAAATGATACCTTTGACCTTCAAGGCTCACATAAGGCAACCAGTTTTAAAAATTAAAAACAGAAGATGATGGTAGATGGTGCCGCTAGATGGCAGTGCTCCAAAGAATTCAGTTTTCTAGATTTCGAGGATTAAACAAATTCAACACGGAATTTTGGTATGGGCTTCTTTTTAAACTTTAATTCTCTTCATCTCTGGGAAATGTAGTTCTCAATGTAAAAATTTCTTCCCAAAAATTTCTACTGATTCATAAAGCTCAGACTCACCCTCAATTTCCTCAACCTGTTGGCTACTTCTTGAAAACCAAACCATTTTCTTCTTCAAATCCTGTCCTCCCATAGCTTCTACAATGCATCTCTCCTAGTTCCACTCCCATCTAACTCCTTCAGCTTCCTGGGGTCTGTCCTCTACTCTCTTCTTCCTCTACTCTATTTCTAGTAATGTTCTAGTCAAAGACCATGTACAGGTTCCCTCTCCATGGTAATGAATCAGAGCGTGATTCATCACTCTTGTTCCGCACCAACAAAAATATCAGATGATCTTCCTCTTCGGGATGTCAAGCTGCCAGCGCTAGCCCAGCAAGGCTGAAAGATAAGGATCTTATGAGCCTTTCCCTTTTCAAGCTTCATGGCCTCCCCACTACTTTCTTCATCGTTATGGCTAGCATCCCATCAGTCACACAGGCTCAGAACACAGGTAACATTCACAATATTCTAAAATTAAAGTCTTTTTTTAATCTTTCTACAAAGCTAAAGTCTGGTATCTAATTTCATATCTCCCTTGCTGCAGCATCCGTGACTCCATCACTGTCTTCCTAAGCTTGGGTTTTTTTCCTTTTTGAACATCTTTTTGCCCACCCTCGTGCTGCCTCTCACGTCTGAGAAAAGCTCGCTACAACCATCAATTTATTCTCTCAGAATTTCCCTAATCCTCTTCCACCATGACCTGCAAAACAGCTGGGCTACTGGTATGCTGAAATCCCTGCTTACAATACTGATCAGTGTCCTTATTCTCATTGAGTCCTTATATTCTCTGTCCAACAGACAGAAAATGCTGCTGAATCAAAAGCAAACACCCCAATTATGGCCATGAACGACACTCATATGCTACCCAAATTCCTGACAGAAGCAGAAGCTCACAAAAACCAAAAGGAAACATCAGGGTCTTATCCTGTACCCTGAAATAATGCCATCCTTGATGGCTAGGGTAATCTTGACTACATCAAAAGAATTCAATGACTAAAAACTTTCATAAAGCAATTTATGGATTCATATTTTAAGGTCAGAGAGAAGCATCATGATTACCTAACCTGACCTTCTAAATAATACAGATAATAAAATTTCATCAGTATTCCTGCATCAAGCTCAGAATTTGCTGGGTGAAACTCAGGATATAACTCAGAAAGAAATCCAGGTTTGATTTAAAGGCTGTAAATAATGGATAATTTCAGAAGCTGCTACTTACATTGAAATCTTATAGCTACTGTCAATTTGTCTAGACTGAAACCTCAACTACTGGGTCTGTTGTGTTTTTGTTTAGCAAACCCTCTTGCATCAGGAACTATACCATGCAAGTAACATACTCAAACCAACACTATATCCCTTGTGTAAAAGCAACATAATGATCTTTTAAAATGTCTTAATACAGAACTGGTATTCAAGAAAGAGAGATCGCATACAGGAATCGATAATTCTGCTTGCTGCCCTAGAATGGTACTTGGAACAGTCTGTTAAGTGCATTAAGTGCACAACATTCCTACAAACCTTCATACGGAAGAAGAATCACAGATTTAGCCAACAGGAAATCTGCTGCCCCTCTCTGGAACTTAGATTTTTCAGAGGCTGCAGGCAGAAATTTCCCTCCATTTCAAATCCAGAACATGCAACCCTCTTCTAAGGGTGGATGCATCTATTCTTTCAAGGAAGGGCAAGGTGATTTTTTTTTTTCTTTTATAAACACAAAAAAAAGCAGAGTGGTGATTTCCACCTCTTTATGATAATTCATTATTGAAGCAGGAGGAGCCAGGAAATAAGAATTCATTGCTTATCCGAGGATTCAAACCTCACTCACCATTAGATTATTTGGCCAATCTGGGTACAGGAAGTTGTACTGTTGAGCAGAAAAGAATGCAAAAGTCATGCAGCCAAGAGAGAGAACAAGTGGCGACATGACTATCTCAGTTGTTAGAGCACTCACCTGGAACAGAAAAGCTCTGTATA